GACTGTCTTTTTTTTCTCTGTAGAGACTGGGGTGGGTTTTTTTTTTTAATTGTTTGTTTCCAGAAGGATCTTCTAGGCAGGAGGCCAGTGAGTTGCTCATGACCTCGAAGTAGAGGATGAAAATTATTCTCCCACTCCTCCCACCCCTCTTTAATGTTCTTACAGCCATTCTCCCTCTCCTGGGAAGGGGTGTGAGCGCGTTCCCTGTGCATTAAAATTATGAATATTGAGCTTCCAAGCAGGCTGAATGCGGTGCCGGAGGTTGCATTGCTCTCCCGTAAACCCATTTGCCAAATCTTACACTGCATATAAAACCAAAGGATAGAATCAAGATCAGGTGAAGTGTTAGTACCACTTTATAATCCCTTGGTAAGGCCACACTTGGAATTCTGCGTCCAGTTTGGGTCGCCACGATGTAAAAACAAAGATGTTGAGATTCTAGAAAGAGTGCAGAGAAGAGCAACCAAGAAGATTAGGGGACTGGAGGCTGAAACAGGAAGAACGGTTTCTAGAATTGGGTATCTCTAGTTTGATGAAAAGAAGGATTGAGGGTGACATGATACAAGGGTCACAATATCTGAGGGGCTGCCCCAAAGAAGAGGGAGTCAAGCTATTCTCCAGAGCACCTGAAGGCAGGAAAAAGAAGCAATGGGTGGAAACTAACCAAGGAGAGAAGTAACTAGAACTAAGGAGGAATTTCCTGACAGTTAGAACAATGAATCAGTGGAAAAACTTGCCTCCAGAAGTTGTGAATGCTCCAACACTGGAAGTTTTTAAGTAGAGACTGGACAACCATTTGTCTGAAATGCTATAGGGCAAGGGCCTTCAAACGTGGCAAGTTTAAGACTTGTGAACTTCAACTCCCAGAATTCCTGAGCTAACATGACTGGAGGAGGAATTCTGGGAGTTGAAGTCCACAAGTCTTCAAGCTGTCAAGTTTGAAGGCCCCTGCTGTAGGGTTTCCTGTCCGAGCAGGGGGTTAGACTAGAAGACCTCCAAGCTCCCTTCCAACTCTTCTTTTCCCTTTCCTTCTATGTCTTCCTCTACTCTACTCTATATTCTATTCTATTCTGGGGGATTTGAGGGTGGGGATTTGACCCCCTTTGGGGAAACTGAGGCTTGGAAACTGATTTTACAACACCGGGGGAGGATGAAAAGAATACAGGCAATCCTTAACTTACAACAGTTCATTTAGTGACCATTCGAGTTCCATCGGGATTGAAAAAGGAGACACATGACCCTTTTCACAATGACTATTATCAGTGTTCCAACTAACCAACTCCAAACCAAGAGACAAACAATTCCTCAAAGTTCCATATTATTAGAGTTGTCCTGTTGGCACATCTGGGACAACTCGAATCTGAAAGTTCTGGGTTTTTCCCTTCCCAAAAGAGAAACCAAAGGTCCATCCCCCTGCATTCATTCAGACCATCGCATGGCCCAATCAAATCTTCTTCGGAACTGGAGACATCCCTCCAGTCACTCCCCTCCAGGTGCAGGGCAACATGTCCTTGACTCTCTGAGAAAGGAATGTTGTTGTGTCTAGTCTTCTACCTCACCATGAAATCCCGCCCCCCAGACGCTTGGCCACTGGTTCATATGTATGACGGTCACAGTGTCCCCGGTGTGTGTGTGTGTGTGTGTGTGTATGTGTGTGTATCACGTGATCCCTCCTTTTGCAACCTTCTAACCAGCAAAGTCAACAGGGGAAAGTCGGGTTCACTTTAATAACAATTAATCAGTGCAACAGAAGTTGTGGAAGTTTTAAAGAAGAAGTGGTGCAGGTAGGGGTGGCCTTCAAAAAATTTAGCAACTGGTTCCCTGGCTCAGTTGCTGGGTGGGCGTGGCCCAGTCGGCCTTATGCACCATGGTGTGGGGGGGGGAGTTTTCACCCTCCCCGGGCTCCGGAGGCTTTCCTTGAGCCTCCAGGAGGTGAAAATTCCGGAGGTCCTCCAGAGGCTGGAAGCAGGCCCATTTCCAGTCTTTGAGAGGCCCATTTTTCACCCTTCCTGAGCCTCCACAAGAGCCTGGAATCCAAAACAGCCCACATTGAGACTCCGGGGAGGGGTGGGCAGGGCCACACTGTTATTGCAATTACCAGTTCGGTGAACCAGATGTAAAATCAGCATCCGGTTCACACAAACCGGTGCAAACCGATTACAGCCCACCCTGGGCGTAAGGTATCCTGCCTAAGTAGGGGGGGTTGGACTGGAAGACCTCCAACTCTGCTATTGTATTCTGTCTTAACGCCGAGAGAAGCCATTTCCACTCTCCTTCTCCTGGCTTTGGTTTATGATGCTTTTAGCCCGTCCAGTCAGGGGAATACTCTGAGCCATCCAGAGAGTCCATTAAAACGATTTTTCGAGGCCTGGAATGACATAAAAGACGGTACGAAACTAAACATCGGATTAGCTTCCTCTCCCTGGGACTCTGGAGAACGGCCCGAAGTCCCCGGCTGTTTCCGAAAAGATGCCACGTTTTTGCATTGCTGGACATTCTTTTTTTTTTTTTTTTTTTTTGCCTGTCCTTAATGACCAGACGGAGAAGGTTTTTCCGAAACGGCAGTCCGGACCACCAGGTAGTCCTTCAACTTAACGACCGCAACAGCGCCCCGAATTTCCATTGCCAAGCAAGACGGTCCATCAGTCAATTTTGACCCATCTTTCTTGCCTCCGCCTTTGTTAAGCGAATATGTTGCAATTGTTGGGTTAGTCCCACGGGGGTTCGATGGAATCTGCCTTCCCCGTGGATTTTGCTTGTTGGGAAAAAGGGGGTCGCGGGACACCCCCGGGACACAGCAACTGTCGTAAATACAAAGCGGTGGCCCGGCATCTTGAATTTGGATCACGGCCATGCCACAACGGTCGTAAATGTGGGAAAGGGGTCGCAAGTGACTTTTTCCCCCAGTGCCGTTGTGGCGGTCCCTCAACGAACTGTTGTAAGTTGAGGAGTACCTATAGTTGGAGGAAGCCGCAAGACAATCTGTGATTTTGTTTAGTTTTCCCAGCGTCCGTGCAAACGGCGTCCGACGCCCAATTCAACTGTTTTTTTCCCCCGTAAAGTTATTTTTTTATAATGCTTAGTTAATTTTTGTCCACTTCGGGGCCTTTCCCTTCTCTTTGGGCTGAAACCAGGCTGGCACTCAGCAGCTCGGTTTAATATTACAACGTGCTAGTTATTAAAAGGAGTAAGTGTTGCAACATATTTACGTAACCGAGCAGAGCTTAGTCCTAAGAAAAAAAAAATCTTGAGTCCGTTTTAGGAGCCAGGAGAGGAAGAAGTTAGTGCCTTTCCAATATGGTTGCCTTTCTCAAGCATGGACTACAACTCCCAGAGTTCCCCAGCCAGCATGGAAGTTGAAAGTGGCTCTCGCAATATTGCTCCCAGGGAGCAATGGTCCACTCCCAGAATTCCCCATCCAGCATGACTCTTCCTAAGAATTCTGGGAGTTGAAAGCTGCTCTCAGGGTACATGGACTTCGACTCCCAGAATTCCCCAGCCAGCATAACCATTCCTGAGAATTCAGCTGAATTCCAATTTTTTTTAAAAAAAAATGCAAAGGAAATAATGAAGCAAAGAAAGAAATTAAAAATGAGTGTTGAATGATGGTCTAAACTGAAAAACGTTACTTTAAAAATAGCTTTTAAAAAAACTTTCCCACTGTTAAGACATGAGGACTACAACTCCCAGAATACCCCAGCCTGCCATACATACTCTCAGTTCCAAAGGAGGCTGCTTTGAATGTTTTTTCTCAATGGCGTATGGCAGTGTTTCACAACTCCTCAGCTTTAAGACCCCTGGACTTCAACTCCCAGAATTCCCCAGCCAGCTGGCTGGGGAATTCTGGGAGTCGAAGTCCACCCACTGTCGATTCTGAAGTTGGCCTAAGAGAGGCCATTTTCTAGCTTTAGTGTTGCCACACTGGAGCTGAGGGTTAGGGCAGTGGGGGTGGGGGGTGGGAGTAGAGATAGAAAGGGGTTGTAGCCAAAACAAAATACTTTCTCTTGGGAACCAAGGTCATTCCCACAGGTGGTTGGAGAGATGCGGAGTGACGTTACCAGACAGCACAATGATTGGACCATGTGACTGTTTGGGGAAGGGGGGGAAACTTTTTCTTTGAACTTGGTGAAAACCGTGGGAATATTCAGAGTCGGTTTTCGCCAGCCTGTGCCAATATGATATTTCCAAGAAATCCGTTTCTTGGAATCTGCCTCCCTCAGAGTCCTATTTATCACGGGAGTATTACTTGGAACCCGCACACTCAGCTTCAAGTGGACGGCTCAGATCTCTGCAGATACTTACTGTGTATTTCCCGAAAATAAGACCCTGTCTTATAATTTTTTACCACCCAAAAAGGGCACCAGGTCTTATTTTCGGGGGAGGTCATCCATTGACTAACCTCACTTATATGCCTCGCCCCGGCCTCCTTTTTGTTGTCAGAGGCCTTTAGGGATTTGTTCTGTAGCCAGCAAGTCTTTCCGGAAGGCCTCTGCAGCTGATAATAGACCTTCGGATCCGTCCGGAGCTTTGTTATCCGCTCCAGAGGCCTTCAGGAAAGCCGTGACAGCCTTGCCGGCTGCAGAAGAAATGGGCCGGCAAGGCAGGTGTCGGGGTGTGCCAGTTGTGCCTGGCTACAACTGTCTGAAGCTTAATGTTTACTCGTCCACTCTGGAGTGGGTGGGATTGTAATTAGGGCTTATTTTTGGGGGGGGGGGTAGGGCTTATATTGGGTGCACATGTAAAAAAAATCAAGCTAGGATTTACTTTCGGGGTAGGTTGTATTTTCGGAGAAACAGTTGGAGCCAAGACGAGAAAAAGAGCGAGCTCGATCAGCGAGCCTATTTGCCCTGACTCTCTTCTCTTCCTTTTTTTTTTTTTTTTCCACCCTCCTCCGCAGGCAAGACAAGCTGAAGGTCCACATGAGAAAACACACCGGGGAGAAGCCCTACTTGTGCCAGCAATGCGGGGCTGCCTTCGCCCACAACTACGACCTGAAAAATCACATGCGCGTCCACACGGGCCTCCGCCCGTACCAGTGCGAGAGCTGCTTCAAGACTTTTGTCCGATCCGACCATTTGCATCGGCACCTTAAGAAAGATGGCTGCAACGGCATCCCTTCCCGCCGGGGGCGCAAGCCCCGGGTGAGAGAAGCGGCCGTCGCCCCGCTCCCGAGTTCGAATCCTGACGACAGCAGCCTGGCCGGGGGCGAGGAGGCCGAGGAGACGCAGGGGCCCGCCGCGCCCCAGGACGAGTTAGAACAGCACTTTGAAGATAATTCGAACGCCCACGCGGCGTCAGGAAGTTTGAATGTAGCTGGGGGGATTGTCTGAGGGATATTAAAAAAAAAAAAAACACACAAGGACTTTCCTAAACCAAAAAGAAAAGAAAAAAGAAAAAAAATAGTGTCACAAAATCTAGTTATAACTTTCCTCCGGTTCCTCTTGAGAGAAAAAAATATATATAAATATGGTTTCTTCACTTTTTTTTTTTTTTTTGGAGAAAAATGAAAGAAAAACTAAAGTCAGAAATAGCCTTATAGGTGTATAATGTATCTCTGTTTGTAATCTTCCCACTCAGTTATGAACTCTCGTTAGCCATGGATGAATTTTTTAAAAACCTGGTCCCTGCCTTGAAAAGGAGACCACCCAGTGATCAAGGTTTTGAGCTGGGGGTCAAGGGGGGGTGTTAAGGGGGTGTAGAGAGAGTAGAGGTCTACAAAACGTGGAAACGAAGCTTCCAGAACTTGTCTTAGTTTTTAAGTTTTAAAACTGAATATATATATATACATACATATATATAATAATGGCCTTATTTTTAGGTATTTTAGGAGCCGCTGTTCCAAAGGGACACAATGAAAGTAGTCAATGAATTGGCTGACTTAAAAAAAGGAAGATTTATTAGGGAAAAAATATATCTCCATTTCTTCCCAATCACCCCCCTCCCCACTTCCCTTCCTTCCCTATTCTAAAATTCTCATTTTTTTCCTACAAAGGTGCTTCAAGAGTTTTCATCTGAAGTCAAATCATAGTTCTTAAGGCTGTCGGCAGAGAATTTCGGGCCCATTTTTGAAAGTTTGGTGAAGGGCACCAAACACCTAAATTCTTTTCTTGAAGCTTTCGATGTTTCGTAGAAAAAGGGGGAAATCAACATTTATTGGGCACAACTCTCAAATGTTAGGTTCTGGGACAGGATGTTGGCCTGTTGAGCAGGTTGGTATCCTGAGTTTCTTACAATCCGGAGTCCCGCGTAGTGTTAGGTGAGCCAAAGGAGTTACAAGGGCTAGTAGCCTTTTGGATGATTTGTGATCAAACGAATCACACTGCGCTCAACAGTTGTAAGAAGCCATGATTTCCAAGATTGATGCTAAGACGGTTTGCGTGCAAACAATCTTGGCTTACTAATTCCAGATAGTTTCCTTCTGGGACAATTTGCATCCGTTTCAAGTTTGAATCTCTTTTCCTGATCACCCTCACCCCCCAAACTAGTTAAGTTTGAGATCTTTGGTGCTTTGCTCAACGCTTCAGAAGCAAGGATTTTTAAATTGTTCATTAAAATCTCGTTTTTCATTCCCCTCCTCCCGGGGGGTGACCAAACAAAGCCAGGTTTAACCGGTACTGAAAGTTGCAGTACAAAGTTTCTTTTTCCCCGTCCTCAAAGAGCACCATTTTTGTCCCGCGCCGAGATCTGCCGAAGAGATCTCGTAATTTGGCTCGATTGCAGGAGCCACGCGTCGAGCTCGTCCGATATCCCTCCCTGTAATGATGCACACTCCCTCGGGCTGGTACAAATATTCCAATCTTGTCATATGTTGGAAAGTGGTCCTTGAATCAGTCAGCATCCCAGACCTTGGGGGAAGCCAATTTGAGACACTCCCAACTTCAGAGATCCCACCAAATTGTCCGGACGTCCCTATCTCTCTGGGTGGTGATTATAGTTTCGTGTAGGCAGGCCCGTCTTGCCTTTAAGGCCGTGGATTGCAAAATCTTGTGGGTTTGACACAGAATTAGACAGTGGAGAACACTTCAGGTGGAGAAAGGCCTGGGCTGCCCCGCAAAGCTGTCGCACGGTTGCCAGGGGGTCTTGATTTTTCTAGGCCAGGCCGAAAGATGGGCTTTTGTACTTCCAATTTTCCCCTTCATTTTTCTCTGCGTTCAGCTTTTTCTAAAAGACCTTCTCTCTCTACCCCATTTCACACCAAACGAGCCAAATGGGGAAATATTTGCCCAGTTGATGGCTTTGTAGGAAAAACGATGTGTTCCTGCCATAAATTAAACCCTAGATAATTCAGAGAAGGAAAAGTAGGTTACTCTCCCCACCTCTACCCCTTCTCCCCCAATTATGTCTCTTCCTTTTTTTTGTACGCTCCCTCGTTCTGAGAGCCTTAGATAGCCAGATTCGCACTCAAGGGTGTCCATTTTGGATTGCGGTAAGGTTTGGGGTCCAAAGTTGATTTTGGGGTGATTTACCAAATCTCTTCCTATTATCCGCTCATGTTGGTAGAAGCAGTTGTGTAGATAAAAGCCGTAGCTATATCAAAAAAAAAAATTATTAAAGACACAGCTCCCTTTAAGCTAAAAAAATAAATAAACTAAGGGCACCTTTTAGCCATTTCCAAGTTTTTTAAAATGCACAGTTTAATATATATATAT